CTTCTGAAGGTTCCAAGGGAGAAGCTGTTCCCTGCCTCTGTCCTGGCTTCTGGTGGCTGCGCCGGTCTTTGGCGTCCGTGGCTCATGGCTGTGTCACTCTAGTCCCTGCCCCATCTTCCTGTGGCCTTCTTCCTTGTGTCTTCCTATGTGTCTGTGTCTCTCAATCACCCTCTCCTTATAAGGACACAGATCACTGGATTTGGAGGTCACCTTATTCCAGTATGACTTCAACTTACCTTGAGTCCATCTGCAAAGACTCTATTTCCAAGTAAGGTCACAGTCCTGGATATCAGGACTTAGGACTTCAACACAGCTTTAAAGAGGACACACTCCCAACCCACACCAGTCATGACCAATAGACTTTTTTGTCTTCTTCAGTGAAATAGAATCTAGGAAAAAATATCAGAGTTCATTGCAGGCAGTAAGGTTAATGTCATAAAATTTTATACACAAATATTAATATATGTGCTAGCTAATAAATGTATTTCTTATGTCAGAAGTTTTTGAAACTTAAAAAAGGGGTAGGGGCTTTAAAAAAAAAAACTGCCTCTTTGCACACCTGTAATCCCAGCTACTGTGGAAGCTGAGGCAGGAGAATCGCTTGAACCAGGGAGTTGGAGATTGCAGTGAGTCAAGATTGTGCCACCGCACTCCAGCCTGGTGACAGACTGAGACCCCGTCTCAGAAATAAAACCAAACCAAAACAAAGCCTCCTGCAGCTTCTGCCACACTGCATTCCCCTCACCCCCTGGTCTCTTAAAGAGAAGGAGCCAGCTCTGTGTTCTGCAGCCCCACCCCCCAGGCACTCACCTACTTCCCTGCCATGGGGCCTTGGCACCTGCTGGTCCTCCTGCCTGGAAGGCTCTGCCCTACCGTCTTCGTCTGGATGTCACCTCTCCTTCAAATCTCAGAGCAAATATTACGGTCCTAAAGAACTGCTGGCAGAGCCAAGCTGAGCCACTGTTACATTTTCTCACAGTTCCCGGGTTTTTACTGCACAGCCGGGAACATGGCCTTCACCAACACGATTCCTCCGTCTGTATACCTGTGCATGTTTAACTTGCACGATTATTTTGTTCACGTTCACCTCTCCTACCGTGCTCGTAGCCCACTGTGGTTTGTGGGTCTTGTCTGTTCTCCATATTCTAACACTCATATTTCCACATTAGCTTTATGTCTGGCCCACATGCTCAGTAAATGTTCACTAAATGAATCGATCTAGATGACCGTTGCAACCGTGAGGGGAATATTATGCCAGCCTGAGATTTTTAAAGGAAGGACCTAGCCTGGCTCCAGTGCTTGCCAGTCGGACAGGGAAATCCTCCCTCTCTTGTCCTTCACAAAAGCCTAGGAGATGGGCAGCATCATCATTCTCCCAATACTACAGATGAGGAGACTGAGGGTCAGAGTGGTCAAGTAAATTCTCCTCTGGTGTGCTTCAGTTCAGGCTCAGGTTGGCCTTACCCGCAAGCCTGGGCTGTTGCTGGGGGTGGGGGGAGCATGAGTTTTCTGTTTCTTGGAGTGAAGATGCAAGAGACCAGGTGCTAAGGTTAGACCACTGGGACCAGATTCACACGATTTTATGTCAGGGTTCCAGCCTGGATGTGGGATCCCAGATTCCCCTGGGCAGTGGAAGCGTGTCTCCCAAGCGTAAGTTCTCCTGCTCACTCACGCCATGGGTGGGCCCAGGTGAGAAGTTCTGAGCAGAGCATGGTGACCCCAGCTCTAGGCCATCCTGGCTCAGGATGTGGAGTGGAGTCAGGCATGTGCCTTACCCCCTGTGAATCTCAGCTCCTTATTGAGAAAATGTGCACAGAAATGTCAGCTTGCTCACCTCATAGCCTTCCTTCAAAATCTGGTGAAAGGAAAGCGCTTTGAAAGATACGACGCTCTGTCTTGCTCTGAAGTCATGGAAGGTCCCTGGTCCTGGAGGTACATGCCATGGGTTTGGGAATCTGAGGACTTGGATTCTCTGCTCTCCTTCCCAGTGATGATGGCCACGTCCTTTTGCTTCTCCCCTCTACAATTAGTGCAGTCCCTCGGCTGTTTATTGCTACAGAGGAGCGTGGCTGTGGTCTCCAGGGCTGCCACCAGCCCGGGGTACAGCTTCCAGGCAGTGAGCTTTATTAGCTCTACACTCTCAATTATCCTTTTTCTTTCCTCCCTGGGAAGAACGAAGGAATGGCTCAGGAAGCCCTCTTGAGGTCTCGTGACAGCTATGACTTTATTTGGGGATTACTCTGAGGCATGTATAGATTCATCAAAGCTGGCTTCTTATTAAAACCGAGGAAAAGATTCCTCTCACTGCCAGGGACATCCATTCGGCCCTTCCTCTCCCAGCTCCCCACTCTTCCTCAATGCTTCTGCTCCAGGCTAGAGCACCCTTGTCCTATTTGACGATTAAAAATGTGTCTTTAGCACCTTGACGCCACAGGCCCGACTCTTCTGAGGGGTGTGCTCTCGTGTCCTTGCTAATCCCCCAGTTCTCAAATACTGCCAGGGAATGTCATCTTCCACCTACAGGGCAGTAAAGTCTGCCTGAGAATGGAAATCCCTCACCCCTCAGCCTCCTTCAGCGCCTGAGGGAGAGGCACGCTGTGCAGAGAGGCAGAGAGGGGTGGGGAGCAGCAGGGAGGGATTGGGAAGGGAAGAGGCGGATCGGGGAGGAGCAGGATGCCCCGGCCTCCCAGATCCAGATTGTGGTGCCAGCTTTGGAAATACAGCAGGTCACTCCTGAATTACCCAAACCACAAGTGGTAAATCCGCTGCGACTAAGTCTCCTGTACTTTAGGATTTCTGAACTTAAGGATTTCCCGTGGATCATTATCATTCTACTCATTCTGGGACCTGAGAGAAATGAGTGAGTCAGGGGCCAGCGAGACACAGACACTGATGAAGATCAGCCTAGCATTGGGCCTTCCTTTTTTTTTTTTTTTTTTTTTTTTTGAGGCAGAGTCTTGCTCTGTCACCCAGGCTGGAATGCAGTGTCACCATCTTGGCTCGCTGCAACCTCCACCTCCCAGGTTCAAGCAATTCTGCCTCAGCCTCCCAAGTAGCTGGGATTATAGGCATGTAATCCTGTAATGTAATCCAGGCATTCGCCACCACACCCATCTAATTTTTGTATTTTTAGTAGAGATGGGGTTTCACTATGTTGGGCAGGCTGGTCCTGAACTCGTGGCCTCAGATGATCCACCTGCCTCAGCCTCCCAAACCGCTTCAATTACAGGTGTGAGCCACCATGCCCAGCCTGGGCCTTTTCATTTTGGGAGAATCATCCCAGAATGAGGAGAACTCCGTGTAGCTGGGATGTGAGAAGCCTGTGCAAAGCTTGAGTGAGTCAATACATGCTAGGCCGACCCCATTGTGAGCATTTTGCCTCCTCTGGGGGACATGGGGCAGGCGGTGTTTGTGTTCTGGGGGCCACCTCCTTCCGATGCCATGTTCCTGGGTTTGCACAACACCTGCTTGGCTGGAAGGTGACTCACCCACTTGTGCAGCGAGAACCCCACCCACCTCACAAGAAAGATTAGAACTGGGCTTGGGCACAGACTTGCTTTCTGTGTGCCCCACCCCTGGAAAATGCTGCAAGGACGCCAGCCTGCCAGGTCACCCACAGCCAACCGCATCCCTTCCCAGTCCCGGCCACAGCAGCTGCTGTGATCCCTTTGTCATTAGTGCAGGAGCAAAATGGGAATTGGAGAGACAGCACTCCAAGCCTCCAAGCAGAGTTCAGGTTGTGTGTTTCCTGGGCAATTGGGGCCGTGAGTTAGGCACTTCGGGGTGCTCTCCTCTCTCCCACCCAACCAGGTCCTGTAGCTTTGCTGCCTGCGTGCTTTCCCCAACCATGGACGGGCCTCAATGCTAGGCCCTCTCCCCAGCTGAAATACCCTCTCCTTAATTGAGTCTGCCTGCGTCAGTGCTCACCTGGTTAGGGCTGCGCTTAGAGCTAGCGTGTCCCGGTGGGGAGTGGCCTAGGCTCCAGTTCATTTTCTCCACCTGCATTGTGGACCAAGGTGCATGGCCTCCCACATGCCACAGCAGAAGTGCCAGGTGAGATTGGTCTTCTGCGGCTGAGATGATCACTCTGGCTGTAGCCCGCTCATGGTGTGAGTGACAGACAGGTGCTTAGGGCACCAGAGACTTCTCTAATAAGGTGGCAGCAGGCCGCAGTTGTTGATTTACCAGCCAGGATCTTTGCCTCGAGAGCCACAGCGAGGTCGTCTGTAATCAGTGCTTTCCCTCTCTCATCTCCTGACGCGAGGATGAGCAGAGCAGGCTCGATGACACAGCTGCTCGGCTGTAATCCTGTATGATAATTTTGCAATTATTATTTTTAATATAATCAGCTTTTTCCTTTGGCAATAAAAGAAAAGGTTAAATTGCTCACAAACTAATAAAGGTTTATCTTCTGGAGCATCAAATTCTGTTTACTCATGAAACACACACCTCCTCTATGCACCCATCGGGAGGAAAATTAGCATTTATTTTCCCTGATAAACAAAAACAGTGGAAGATTTATTGGCATCTTTTGGAGTTAAGCCCTTAAGTGACATAGAGGAATGCAAGAACTTTGGAAGACATCTGACCTGACTCCGGATTTCATTTTAACTTTGGAAAGCAACCTGTTGTGTGCAGTAGGGTGTTACTTGGTATCTGTAGTGCCTAGATGCTAACAACATGCATGGACCCAAACTCCCCCTGGGGCCCAGGAGCCAAGAGATTGAAAAAGCGGAAATGCTTTCATGACTCTCCACAACTTCCCCCAGGTTCGCACAGGGGAAGATGTTGTATAATCCTCGGTGATGAGAGAGTGAGATTTCCCCCAGCTAGATTCCTCCTCCTTTGATTCCTTTTGGTGGCAAGAGAAGTTGAAGCTTTGACACTCTCTTTATCTGTCTCAGTGCTAGAAGGCTTTAATTGCACTTAAAAATAATTCCAGTCTGATTTTCAAATGCTCTCTGGAGTGATTCAGCATTTTTCCTTTCCCTGATTTCCAGGTACGGAGATATGAGGAGACAGATTGGCTTTGAAATCAGAGACATGTGGTACAACCTCGGTGAGTAGGCTGGATGTGGGGGCACAGTGAATATCTTGTATCCCTGCTGGGTCATGACACTGGCCCTGTTCAGCAGTGTGGGGGCGTCTTAAGGTCTTAGTGGCTTCTGTTCCTTCGGAGAGCAGTTGCTATTCTTCAGGAATTAAGAGATAGAAGAGCAAAGGCAAGGAAAGAAAATCTGATGGGTGGGGCAAAAAGACAAATCCGCAGAGCACCCTCGGGTCAACACGTGGCTTGGAGCCCCTCGCTCCCTGGCATGGCCTCCCTCCCTCAGCTGCCTCAGTTCCTTCTGGTCAAACAGGAAGCTCATCCTGCTGTGACATTTGCCATCACTTACCACATTCAGTTTTACAGACCCTGCCTTCTAAAGGGTTAATTCACCTCCTCGCAAGCAGATCCTGTATTTAGGTGTGCTGCCGCCAGGCGATGGCAGCCTAACAGCCCCTGCAGTCAAAGCAGTGAAGGGTCTGTGTGTGTATATGAAATTCTTGTAATTTTATTTGTAAATTAAGTGACTTTTTCCGACTACATTTTTCCGACTACTTTTACCATGAACAATAACAAGAAATTCTCTGTTAAAATTTTAGCCAGTGTGACGTGTCATTCTTTTAGATAAGCCCCTTCAAGAAATCAGTGACTGACAATAATCTGGTATCCTCCCAGCATCTTCAGAGTGCCCTCGAGGAGTGCAGCCTCACTTCTCATTGAGATGAAGCTCTCTGTGGCTCCTGCCCTCAGCCCTTGGGCCTGCTTTGTGCCGAGGTATCCCAGGCCACAGGGTGCTTGCGGCCTTGCCTCAGTCCTGAGCAAGGCTTCAGGTGCTTTTCTGCCTCAGGATCTCCAGGCCTCTGCTTCCTTCCTTCAAATGGACACAAGAAGCCTGCATCGGCTTGTTGTGAGCGACCCTCTACTTTCCTCTCTGCCCCAGAGAATCTTTCCTCTACTAGAAGGAGGCAGGGGTCTGTCCACATCACTGTTAGCCTCGTTGCATTAGGGTTTCACTTGTTGCTCCAGTGTTCGGACAGCTTAGCTGCATCCTGACCTGCTTACTTTCTGAGCAGCTGGGACTCCCTGCAGCGGCTGGAGGGCCTGGCAAGAAGCACGCAGAACCTAGCGGTCCAAGCTTCATTTCTAGCTCTGTTTGCTTGTCCATCTCTCTTGCCATTCTTTAGTTTGACATGAGGCCCAGTTAGGTTCTCAGAAGTGGAAAGCCACAGCAGATGCTCCCAGGTGGGGATGGAGAGCGGGTGAGAGCGGCCCTGTCTGCCTGTGCCTGCCCAGTACAAAGAGCACCTGTACCATTGCATCCTTTCTGGGTGTCCGTCATGGAGTCAATGGAGGGCCCCTTGAGGAAACTCTTCTGCTAATTCTCTGCATGTGACTTTTCCGCAGTAGCTCACATGTCTAGAATCTGAGTACTGGTTCTCAGCTGTCAAAGGGCCTGCTGACCTCTGCAACATGGTACCTACAGGGCACCATCCTCTCCTTGGCCTTCCTGCCATCCCAGGGAGGAAAGTAGGGGCTCTGGGCTCAGAGGAGTCACATGGCCCAGTCTTTCTGGGCTGTTAGATAAAGTGGTTGGACTGAATTTTTTAGGAGCCTTCCAATCCCAAAACTTAATAATGCGATGACATATATATACGATGATCTCAGTAATGAAGTGCTAAGGCTTTTAGAACAGGGAGGAGGACAATCCATGATTCATTCTAACTGATCTCTCTGTGTTCTTTGTTAAAATCATGCTCTGGCAGATGCATGTGTCATTTGCTCTGGCAGGCCAGACGGCAGGACCCACGCCAGGCAGGGACCCAGTGTAGTCCCATGAGAGAGTCAGGAGAGGGCGGAGGGCATTCACAGCAATGGCTTGGAGGGAGGCTGTTCTCTATTGGAACTCAGGGTGTCCAGGGCCTTTTAAAATTTTTATTATTTTTATTATTTTATTTTTGAAGATGGAGTTTCGCTCTTATTGCCCAGGCTGGAGTGCAATGGCACTATCCTGGCTCTCCACAACCTCCACATCCCGGGTTCAAGTGATTCTCCTGCTTCAGCCTCCCGAGTAGCTGGGATTACAGGCATGTGCCACTATACCTGGCTGATTTTTTTTAATAGAAAAGGGGTTTCTCCATGTTCTTCAGGCTGGTCTCGAACTCCCCACCTCAGGTGATCTGCCCACCTCGGCCTCCCAAAGTGCTGGGATTACAGGCGTGAGCCACTGCGCCCAGCCCTGTCCAGGGCTTTTATAGGCAGTGTTCGTGAAGGAGGTTATATGAGCTCCACCTGCCACAGGCTCTCAGGGAAGACCCCAGACCTCTCCTCTGGACACAGGCTCTCTCTGAGGCCATCTTTTTACCCTAGCCCCTCCTAAAAGAGTGAGTCCACCCTCTTCTGTGTCATTCCACTTTAACTCTAAAGTATAGATGGTAAGTTGTCTATTTTCCCCAAGAGGACACTTGCACATATGCTTTCAAATGAAGGTTCTCATTCTGAAATGGCTTGATAACATTTCACATCGTGTGTGAAACTAGAGACACCACCCTGGTGGAGGCTTGATGCATCATTACACACTGAAATGCTTCCTTCTCCCTGTACACAGCTGCGGCCATTACTCAACTCTCCCTGGCCCCTGAGCACCCCCAGGATCCTCCCCAGCTCTCCATATGCCAGGATCCTCACCTGGTACCGAGGGAGCCTCCAAAACTCAGCTAGAGCCACAGCTGGCCAGAGATCACCCTGACTGATGGGTGCTCCTGCCTTTCTTGTGTTCCAATTTGGGGTTGTTTTTGGTTTTGTTCTTTAATATATTTAATGTCACCTCCATAGTCCCTGAGATTGATCACCATTGACAGTGGCTCCATTTCAATTTGTGCCATGTGCCATGATAAAAATGCGGGAAGGACAGGTGGCCTCAAAAAGGGCGAGTTTCTCCGGGTGCCCCCTCCAAGTCCTTGGGCAGGCCCCGCCTTCTGAGGATACACTTTGGTCTGACGCAAAACGCTTGGTTCACTTGACGTTATCAAGATAACGTCTTGGCTCCAGGTAGGCCAAGTCAATGACAGGAGACTTTCGATTTGGAAAAGGTTGCGGTGAAGAGAGTAAATTTCCCCTTCCTTCCTGTCAGTGGCTGATTTGAATATAGTGTTTAATGCATGAGATGTGCGTTTTGCAGCTCTTTAGAACAGAACATTGACTCTGGCCTGGGAAGCAACGAAGAGGTCGAAAGTAAGCCATGACCTTGGCCATTTAGGGTCAGGGACTTGGAAACAACAGGAAATAGCAGTTAGACACCAGAGTTGGGTTCCTCACTGGTAAAATAAGTAAGTTATTTTTCAAAGTGAGGGACATGGTTGTAAAAGCACCTGCAGCCCACGGGATCCTCCCCAGGCAGCCCCTCAGGGTGGTTAAGGATTGCCCCACGGGGTCGTCTCAGGAGCCCAGCTCCTTCCTGCCACGGTCCCAGGGACCTGAGTGTCTTTGCCGAGACTGTCACTGTCACACTCCAGATTTATGAAAGCACATCTCAGTTTCCCAGGATGTACACAACCTACTTTCTACATCGTTTTTTTTTTTTTAAATGGGTGCAGGTTTCAGAACATATTGGCAGGATGATAGCACCGACTCTGCCAAGAAAATAGAAATAGAAATCAGATTATTTATCAGCTTACAATTAATACACCGTCACTTGAGCAGACCTGCAGCTGAATGCTCCACGAGTCTCCTCCCTGAGTTTTTCCAATAGTACACGCGTTCCGTTTAGAGGAGCATCTCAGCTCTTGCCTCTTCCATGCCCAGCCTCCGAGCAAAGATCTGGGGTCTGTTTTGCTCAATTTAATGCAAGGGCAAACACGGTACTGCCCCATGGGACAGAGTGATGTGGTTCTTTCTCTCCCAAAACTGTCATCTTTTGAGTCTGAAAGGGGAAATCAAAAGCAGACTCTCTCATAAGAAAAAAAAGGGGAGAAAATGTGCTTATTTACCCAGCTCCTGAGTTATTTATCAAAGCGAACTCTGTGCGGCAGCCCGCCGGAGCACCTCATCTCCTCGCCTGTGCCGCCTCGATTTACATTTTGTTTATTACATCCAGCACACTGGAGCTAGCACAAGACCCGAGCCAGGCAGAACGAATGTGCTTGGAGCAAGATCTTTATCTGCTCTGTTGGGTTTGGGATATTTTTCATGCAGGGATTCCCTTCATGGGTGTTTTTTAGTGGCTGGGCAAACTGTGTGCTTTTCATGAAAACCTATGTACAAGGTGGCCTAATGGGTTTGGCTGGGTGGTGGAACTTTTTGCTCTGCCTGCTCTTGTGTATACAGAGATTTTGCTGGGATAAGTCTATGTTTAATGTCCTGGATTTTCGAACACCAGTGATTGCAAGAGGTAATTTAAACACCCACGGGGGGATACTGACTGGGAGGCCCTGGCTTGGTGAGAAAAGAAGATGCTGCTCCCAGGGAAAACAGCTCTGTGCTCTGTAGCTGGAGCAGATTCTAGGTGGGCAATGAGACCAGCAAGGACTGGAACTCAAATGTTCTCATTACCTTCCTTTGTCTCAAAAAGTGTGTCCTCTTTTTCTTTTTTTTTTTTTTTTTTTTGAGACAGAGTCTTGCTCTGTCGCCCAGGCTGGAGTGCAGTGGTGTGATCTCAGCTCACAGCAACCTCTGCCTCCAGGGTTCAAGCGGTTCTCCTGCCTCAGCCTCCCAAGTAGCTGGGACTACAGGCACGCGCCACCACACCTGGCTGATTTTTGTATTTTTAGTAGGGATGGGATTTCATTATGTTGGTCAGTTGACCGCCATCTCTTGACCTCGTGATCTGCCTGCCTCAGCCTCCCAAAGTGCTGGGATTACAGGCGTGAGCCACCACGCCCGGCTGCGTCCTCTTTTTCTTTAAGTCTACACTGTAGGCGTGACCTTGGTCCTCACTGATTCCAAATCTGAGTTCTTTGTTAAATTTGAGCAAGATATGCTCCAAGGGAAATTTATAATGCAAATGTCAAAAAAAAAGGTGTCTACCAGAGAACATCCCCACCCACTCCTGCTCACCTGGGGGACCATTGGTTTGTGAAGAGTCAGTCCCCAGGGATGTCACTATCCTTAGAACCCAGTAGCAGCTCCAGGCCAGTGTGTCTTCTGTAATAGTCAAAGGTGAAGACACTGTCGTTTTGGTAGCTTCTCTTCCCAGTTCCTGCATCGCCAACCACTTGTTATTGCTTTATATGTTTTTCCCAGCTTGGCGCAATAAAACCTGCTGGTGACAGACAGAACTTTATGACACTGAAATTGCGGTTGATGAACAACTTGCTGTCACCATCATCTGTTTTCTGAAACATTGGCTTTGACATTTTTTAAGCATAATACAAGGAAAGTGTCACCTGAGAGATGGGATATAATCGCGTTTTCAAGAGAATGCTTTGCAGCAGTTACAGGCCTTTCAGAAACCTCAACCATTTGGGAAAGTGATGAGAACGGTACACTGATAGCCTTAGTCAAAATGTGAATTATTTAGTGGAAGTGAAAAATCAGATGTTAATTACATTTAGATCCCGTATTGAAGGTTAAATTGTGCGTACGTCCACCCAGTAAAAAGCAGTTCAGTCTAATGATGAGGATTATGCATTTTCTTAGGTATAGTTATCATAGCTGCATTTGTTTACTGATTCTTTTTGCAGAAACCTGCATTCGCTGAGTTGCAAAGAAAACTGAAGAATTTAGTTTCCTGATTGTGTGAAAATATTAGTAAGATTGATTAACTCGGGATACACTGCTGGCGTTAACAACAAAATGTTGCAAATATTTTATTCAAACATTTAATTTCTTGGGCATTCTTCTGGTATGTGTTGGACATGAAATGGTTTTAGTTACAGTGGGATGAAATGAAAACAAAATCAATATTTCGTTGATTTTTAAAAGACCACCATTTTGCTGGGACCTGCCTCTGAGTTTCATCAGAGGTTAACTAAGGTTTGCAGCCTGGTTTTTAGAAGTGAGTCTTCCAGGAGCTTCATTCCCAAGGTGCAGAGTCCAGGCAGTGAAGGAAGCTTGCTGGTTGCTGTGGTTTCCCTGCTCTGCCGTGTCTCTGACCTTGCCTGATTCACTTCAAGCTCCTGATGAGCTTGCCCTGGTCCTCAGGAGTACAGCAGCGACGCACCAACAGAGTTTGGGGTCCCCGGCTGGGGTGGGCACAATGGCAGCCAACCCACAACTAGCAGGAGGGAGGGGCTGGCCGCCATGTCAGGCCCAACGGCCAGCTGCTCTGCCCGGTCACCAGATTTCTCGATGGTGATCCTGGGTTAGCATCTTTCTGAGTCAGAGACAAACGCCCAGAAAGGTACAATACCAAGAAAATACCAACAAAAACCCTTGAAATTAAAAACATAAATTGAGTGCTTTCAAGAAGCCAGTCTCTACTTTCTGGGGGCTTATTTTAGAATTGTAATGTCTCAGCAGTGGGCATCAAAATGGCAGATCACCGACCTCTCTGTTCATTTTGCAATTAAAGAGGATAAATATGGGAGTGGACAGCTCAAACAATTTCTCTTTCAGAGAGATGGATGGGGTCCGAGTGCCCTGCAAACATCCTGAGATAAGCAAACGGGGAGGGAATTTGTAAAATGAGGGTCATAGCTAAGCCTTCATAATCTCAGACCCAGGTTCAAGTCCTGCTCCTCTATTTCTCTGAACAGCTCCCAGAACAGCTTACTTTCCTTGTCTGTCTAACAGGTTAAGGAGGTACCCATCACAAGGTTACCGTGAAAACTCAGCGACATGATGCTTTCTCCTGGGCTTGTCATGCAGATTGTACATACTCGCTAATATGTTCATATTCACCATTAGTCACATTTGAAAAACTTTTGATAAACATTTTTGTGAATGCTTTAAAAATCAAAACTGGAAGAAGAGAGGTGAAATGAGATTAATAAAGTAGTTCTTTAAGCATTTTCCTATCAAGCGACAGCTGGAAAAGGTAGGTAGAATCGCTGCTGTTTTCAGGGTTGCAGACTCAGATGCCAGACTCAGATGCTTGATTCACTTTGATTGGAGTCATTCGGAATGTTACGGAAATCACTCTGCATTATTTACAGAGGTGTCAAGTGCTAAACTCCTCTTCTTAAGATGCAGGAGATAAAAAGGACCCAAGAGACCATCTGCTCTCTCTCATTTGTCAGTTCCTGTTCCTGTCACTGGGCACGGAGTTAGAGGCTGAGACTCCCTACTCCCAGCCCCTGTTCCATTCCGAACTGGGAATCAGCTGCCTGTGTCCTTCAGCCGTCTGATAGAATTGGCTACTTATAAAACAGTGTTTATCTTCTCTGACAGAGAAGTCATGATTGGAGGCTTACATTGCATGAATCTTTGAACACCTTCACCTATAACATGAGAAATACAGGCCACTTCTTATACTAAGGGCTAGGAAAGTTCAACATCGTCGTCTGCAGAGAAGAAATAGATGCACATTTTCAGGATCTCGTTGCTCAAAGTCTGTGATCTGTGTCGTCATGTTGTTTTATCCATTTTAGAATTCTAGTTTTATTTTTTTCTGACTACTTTATCTCTTTTTTCCAAGGTCAACACAAGATAAAGTTTATTCCAGAAATGGTGGGTCCGATATTAGAAATGACATTAATTCCTGAGACGGAACTGCGCAAAGCCACCATCCCCATCTTCTTTGATATGATGCAGTGTGAATTCCATTCGACCCGAAGCTTCCAAATGGTAAGGACATAGATGTGTAGTGAGTGGCCTGGGGACATGGAGGAGACAAACCTGAAAACCTTGAAAGAAATTTGTAGACAGTTCTACAGTGGAACACACATTTTCCTGCATCTTGAGAGAGAAAAAGCCTATGATTTTCCTTATTGAAGAAGCTTATCATACCTTGCACTCAACTTTTGGGAGGATTATTCTCAATTTTTAGTTCTTCTTTTAATCTGGGTTTACTTACACATTAAACCCTGGATAAAAGTCTCTTTCTCCCACTTCTTGGGATGTGCTCTTGTAGAGTATTTAATCAAATATCGTGTATTATATTCTCTCAGATTGGCTACTTATTGCAGAATTATGTTATTTTGAAAGCTAAAGTCTTTGCTTTTATTCTCTTAAGTGTATGTCTTGGTCTTTTGCCTGTGCAATGGAACCGAAGAAAATTTCTCTAAGAAAATATATAAAAAGTGCTCAGAACATACTGTAACATTATGAAGGACAAACTCTGCTGTATAACTTAACCTCAGGAAGTACCAAAATCTCCTTCTGAATCCCAAGAAAATAAGTATAGTATTTGTGTATTCTTGGTTGGTACCCACACCCACACATACACATGCACATCCCCACACATACACACATATACACATATGTGCATGCACACACACATACACACACAGGTCCACATGCTCTGACTTCACCTAAGTGTATTCATGGTTTGGCCATGATGCTTTGCAAGAGACCTGGGGGAAGCCCAAGTGGAAAGATACCTTTAAAAATTATTATAGTGGACTGAATGTGGTAGCTCATGCCTTTAATCCCAGCACTTTGAGAGGCCAAGGCAGGCAGATCACTTGAGCTCAGGAGTTCGAGACCAGCCTGGGAAACTTGGTGAAACTCCGTCTCCGCAAAAAATACAAAAATTAGCCAGGCATGGTGGTGCACGCCTGTGGTCAGGGAAGTCAAGGCTGCAGTGAGCTGTGATCATGCCACTACCCTCCAGCCTGGGCACAGAGCCAGACCCTGTCTCTAAATAAATAAATTAAAATTAAAAAGCCAGGCATGGAGGCTCACACCTGTAATCCCAGCACTTTGGGAGGCTGAGGCAGGTAGATCACGGGGTCAGGAGTTCAAGACCAGCCTGACCAACATGGTGAAACCCTGTCTCTACTAAAAATACAAAAATTAGCTGAGTGTGGCTGTGGGCGCCTATAATCCCAACTACTGGGGGGGGCAAGAATCACTTGAACCTGGGAGGCAGAGGTTGCAGTGAGCCAAGATCCTGTCACTGCACTCCAGCTTGGGTAACAAAGCGAGACTCCATCTCAAAAAAAAAAAAAAAAAATTGAAAATTATGATAGCAATTCACGTAAGTCAATATAGTAAACATTTTACATGGAAATTTGAGAAAAATTCCTACATTGACAGAAAATCAAAACTTCATCAATCAAGACAGTTTGACGTTAGTGGGATCTAATTTTAAAGGGTATGTTATCCTGACCCATCTCTGAAGGTTGTCATTTAAGGGAGCTTTGAGTAATTTATAGATTTTCCTTGGTTGTCCTCCTCATGTCACATGAAGGCAGTATCCACGAAGAATGATTTTGCTGTTTCCTAGAACAGAAAAGGATACGAAACCAAAACCGTCTCCACTGGGAGTAGAAGCTGAGTTTAGATACAAAGGTCAGGGAGACCGAGAGTCACGGGCTTAGCCAGCTGTTATCTGGGTCTTGAGCAAGTCACTCACCATCTTTTAAGTCTCCAATTCAAGCTTGTAACATTGGCATGAGATGGAATCTACCAGAAGGGCGTGTTGTGAGAATGAAAGAAAATCAGACCTGCACACCCACTAGCGTGATGCCCAGCACCATAGAAGGCGGCTGTGGATGTGGCTCTTCCCGTAAAGCTGGAATCTCACCTTGTTATGGGAGTTCGTGGAGTGCAGGGGGTAGCCTGCAGGCTGAGTCCCCAGTGTCTGCAGGACCATGGCCATTTCCTCGGGGTTACTCCCGAAGCCGGGAGGAGCACACAGGAGATGAACAGTCTGACTGCTGGGGTCATTTCCTTTACCCTCCACGCGCCCACGACGGTGCTTGGAAACCCCGTGCAGAGGAGCCTAACTCCGGGCCAGGAGTCCACGATGGTGCTTGGAAACCCCGTGCAGAGGAGCCTAACTCCGGGCCAGGAGTTCATTATTTGTTTTTTGCACTTGGCTCCACTAGGAAGTTTTTTATACGGTGACTGGTGACTGTTGGACAGCAGAGAGGGCTTTAGTTTAACTTTCCAATGTAATGTCAGCTGCGCTGTGATGAGCAATGTTAGTACCTCCCCTTCTTCCTTCCTTCCTCCCTCCCTCCCTTTCTTCTTTCTTCCCTCCCTTCCTTCTGTCCTTCCTCTCTCTTTTTTTTTATGGTAGCAGAAGATCTCTCTATATTTACTTTTGGTAAAGACAATTCGTTTTCAAAAGAACAGCTTTTGTTTTCCTCTGGCTCATCATCAGTCTTCATATGTGCAAAATCTTTGTACAAAGACTGCACTAATACAACATTGTAAATATTATATCTAGATATTTTTCTTAATGTTCCTTCTGTTTGACAGTATATCAAAGAACTTTCCCTTAACATTACAACATGATAACCGTGGTATTAGTGATGCCTTAAAGTTAACTGTCATTTTCTCATCCATCCCCTGTAACTGGACATGTAGGTTGTTTGCAGACTCACTGCTGTGAATAACTGCTCGGTGAACACATTCATGCAGATAGCTTGAATTTATTTTGAACGTTTTCCCAGTATACATTCTCAAAAATGTAATTGCTGATTTCAAATATTTTTGTAACTTTTGACATTATTGCCAAATGGTTTGACATTAGTACCATAAGGTCTGACCCAGCTCCATTGCTACCGGCACTACACCATGGCCCCAGTTTCACTGCCGACTCCTTGGAAGTACGAATTGTGATTTAAATGCTTTTTCCTAGGCAGAAAATTCATCTGACTTTTTGAATTTTATATAAATCAAGCCCAAAGAAGGACTTTGTGAAAAATTGCTATTAAAGAATGAGGCTAAAGGGGAAAGTGTATTTTTATAGATTAATGTCACTAGCACAGAAAACAAAGATCAAAAGTGTTTAAAACATTATTTCATTAAGCAGTCTTAGGGTCAAAATAAGGTCAAGGGCAGTTAGAATAAAGACGAATAAGAGTTTGGTTTCTGACCTGTTCCCCTTCTCCCTCACATTCTTTTTGTCTCCTGGCTGCCTTGTGATAGGTTTAAAAAATCTTAAAACAATCTTCTGAGGAAGCGCTTGATTTTCTCCAGTTTGCAGGGGTCCCAGGTTTGCTGGGAATGGTCTGAAGTTAATGAGAGCCACAGAAGCTGTGCAGCCATTTTAAACACTGTCTCCCCAGTGGGGCTTCAAAGTCGACCCAGTGTCAGGAGACACCTTTCCAGAAAACTGAACTGTTTTTGAGTAATACCGTGAAGTAGTTGGCACACTGAGATCCATCTCATAAGCAACAAACTGCTCACTAGCATGAACCACGCCTTGCTTGGATCTATGTAATTCAGGCATAAGCACGAAGACACAGATTCACCCGCAAGAAGGTGAGCGTGGTCAGCCACCTGAACTGTTTGTTGATCTGTGGTGTCATCTGATTTAACCTCTGCAGACAAAGCATAGCGTATATTAAAGATCTTTCAAATAAAGGCAGAAAAGCTAACATTTATTATTTTTTCAAATCTCTCTTGTATGTTAATCTGCTTCTGTGATTGGGAAAGATCCATTTTCTTCTGTTGGATGTGCCACCTCAGCTTCCGAGCTGGAACGCTCCAAGCCTGCAGCATCGTCCCCTTCTCTTCCGGTCTCCTTGTCGCTGGGCTTTCTGGCTGCAGGTCACATGGGCCCGGCCTTTGCCTGCTCCCCTGGCCTCTGCTGCAGCGGGCTGTGGAGCTTCATCGGTGCTCCCTCTGTCTCACCTGCAGCATCAGTCCTCCTCACACAATCCCCGTCACACTAGTCCAGGATTATTCCTGGGCCACAGTATCTGTCTCTTGACTCGCTCTATGTACATTTCCTAAGCCCTTGCTGCCTCCAGTTCCGCTCGTCTCTCGCAGCTGATCCTCCTGAAGCACAAGGAATGGTCCCTATTTCTTACTGGTGACATGGGCATGTGGGTGGCACGCTGGTGCAGGGCTGGCCCCACCTGCTTCTCCATCCTTGAGCTCCTGGGCTGGGGATGCTTGGCTGCTGCTGAGCTCATCCGCCGCAAGCCCAGTTATCTCACCTTATTAGTCACGTCAGCAAGGGCTTCAGTTGCCTCCACTTTTACAGCAGATGTGCAAACCTAATGGAGTGAGGGGAAGACATTAGGGGGTTTCATTTTTATAACACATTAGTATTTTGAACCCACGATGTAGCTCATTTTGTAAAGGTTGCTATGCCTTTCTGAGTGGAGCTGTTAATATGCTACTCTTTGTGAAATATGAAATAATATACATGTCCAGGTTGTATTTTACTCTTACAATTGGAGTCGAGAGGAGACCTGCTGGAATCAGAAGAAAAACCTGCTATTTTACTCAAGATTAAACTACACCAAACCATTACTGGAATTGTAAAAGCATGTGTTACAAATTGGCTTTTCTAACGTTGCCCAGTTTCTGCTCTCATGTTCTTCAGCTGCAGCAGAGGGCATTTCATTAGAATGTTCTTGCCCATACACCTCCCCAAGAGGCTGCTGCTTTCCTGTCTCCACTTGTCCAAGAAAGAACACAAATTATCCTGCTTTCTCCAGGGTCCATGTGTTGAATGGGCTCTCTTGGTGGTGGGATGGCGTGGCATGGTGTCATCCTTTCATGGGCCATGTCCACCTTGTGGCCTGTGACACTCTGTCCAGGGCTGCAGTGAGTGTCTTAGGTCAGCTTGGCAGCACTCACTGGGGAGGTGGCGAGGAAGCTCTGCAGAAGGCTCCAGGCTGAAGGTCCCGGATGCCAGTGGAGGTCCCTTATGCAGGGCC